TAAACATCTTATTAACCGAGCTTAGTCGGTCTGTATGGGAGAATCTTGATCTCGGTCTTGCATACAGACCAAACGCAGTGAGGTCTGTACTCATGACCTTGGTCAAGATTCTCCCATACAGACCGAGCAAGCTCGGTTAAACAAAAATGTATGAATTCCTTCATCGAGCCAAATTTTGCTCGTTAAAGACTAAGAATGGTCAATTGGACCGATTTATGGCGAAAAAGAAAGTTTTGGAGAAAATTTGTGCTTTTCTTTAATAAGAGCTAATGAATAATATTCGCTTTCCAGTCCCCCTCGGTTCCATTCCTGAACTGCCTGCTGAATCGTGCCATGAAATCAAGGCGAGTGAAGGAGGACAAGCCGTCAGTGGAACATACTGGTTTTATTCTATTGTACCAGACAACGTTGCACTTGCATACTGTGACATGAAAACCGAAGGTAACTTTACCCAGTTTTCTTTTTTTGTCGCTGTTTTGAGGTGTCCAGTTGCACACAGCTTTTGCAGCAAAATGAGGAAAAAAGTTACGAAACATTATACATGGTTTTTACACGTAACAATAAAAAATGTATTTTTGATTATGACAAGGTCTTTTTCTAACCCTGACGTCTTATACAGATATCTAGATTTTTTTGCAGTATTTAACAAGAGGAAATCGTCTATTTGTAGCGCTAGAGTCAAGGAAATTCAAGGTCGGGGTTCTTTTAGACTTAAAATAGTAATTACCATTTACAACAACCTCTCTGGGAAACTTTGGGCAAAATACATTAATTTGATTCCAAGGTGGGCTACTTTCAAATTTCAATATTTAGACTTCAGACCTCTTATTATGCACATTCACTACTGGTAAAGACTACAAAATTAACTTCAAATTGAAGGAAACCCGAAAGTAACAGTTTTCTAAGATAGAGATATTAAATAAACCATAAAGAAACAAGGATGGTCTAGAATGGAGAAGACTGACACGGTTTACAAAAGAAGAACTTCAAAAAAATAGGCTAAACTTTTCAATATGAGCAAACCGTGAAGTAGGTCCTTTAACTAGGAACATTTGTAGTCTTTACCCTTAAAATGGTAGCTTGACTTGATAATATGGACCTCTATGAGACTCCAAAATCAGAGGTGTTGTTAACGAATTCTATCCATTTCAAAACCTTAAAAAAGATGAGTGTATTTTGCTAT